GTAATTTTTATATTAACATTTAACCGTGCCTGTGTCTTAGCAAGATGCTTGATGCCAAAACCAGCCTGATAGCTTGGAACATACGGGCTGGGTTATCATATTTCATGTTCCATTTTCCATTTAGCTATTGTTTTTAGATGAAAAGCCTACATTTATAATTCAGCTGTATATCAGACAACAGAACACCTAATTAACTAATTCCCTCCTTGTATTTCTAAAGATCTAAAAACATGAGCAGGATGGCCACTTGACACTGAGCCAAGCCAAGAGCAGTCGTGCAACGTGCAGCAGCATCGCTGTGGTAGAAGTCGTATTATCCCAAATCTCTCTCCCTTTCTAGATACATAAATCACTCACATGAACTTTTCAGTAGTGCCAGAGGAAATTACTTGTGGAAACAGTCTGTTCCCAAGGTGAAAGAGTGAAAAAGAGCTTGGAAAGGGTTACAGGTGTAAAAAAGATCAAATGAAAACAGAAGAGAAAAAGGAAGTTGGAAAGAGTCTGAGGAATAGGATGAAATTAAAACACTTCTGCCCTGTTTGCAGTTATTTGGTAACAGAGGAATCCAGTTCTACATCATAGATTTTTAAAGAGACTATTAGAGAGGCACACAGGGCCATAATAGCAGCCAGAGAGTCACTGATAGCATCACATGTGTAAGAAATGGAAAAATGTATTATCTCAGCCTGATAGTTCTCTATATCATTCCAGGAGCCCTGTCCAGTCCAGTTCTCTGGGTCATTTTCAGCATTAAGGCTTTCTAGAGAGGATGTGGGTTAGTGCTGCCAGTTGACCTGAATTTAATATTTAAATTGAAATAAATTGTTATTTTTAAAACTTCTACCCACATTTTTCTATTTCTTATCATAGAAATAAATTACTTTTCTTAATGTCACCAATAAAAGTCATTTAACATATTACTTACTCATTCCAGAGCAGGAATGAGCAGTACTCTAGAGCAGGAGACGACCAACAGAAAACGTCTATTGGAGACCAACCAAAGATGGCTTAGAAGACATTTCCTCTAGTTTGAGGATTTAATGCTGCTCATCTTTAACATCTCTTCATTTTTAACTTTCTCTCATGCCATACAATTATGTTTATGCAAGCTACATCCTATTAAATACCTGCATAGGAGACAGTCAGATGGAAAAATAAATGCGTGTTTAAAGAAAAGAAAAAATAAGATAGATGAGAAGTAAAATTTGTAAGTACAAAGCAGATCCTTCTCTCACAGAAGTATTGAAAAAATAACCATCACAAAATAACTCGTTAAGAAGTAGATACTTCCTTTAAAGACAGGAATTTAAAAGCATGGAGTAAAAAAAAAAAAAAGACACCAAGGCATATAAGAAAAGACATGGAAAGATTTGCCAGCAGCTCAGTAAGTGAACCTGACCAAGCTGCAGAGAGGCCACATTTGCCAGGAGAGATAAGATCAGCAGGAGAAGCACTAGAAAGTCAACCTCAGGTGCCACAGGCAACCTTCATTCTCACATTTCCCAGCTTCGTCCTACTCAGCTTCACGACTGCAGGAATGTTTTGTTTCTGCACAGGTGTGCAAGCCCTTATGCTACACCCCAGTGCCACCAGTGGTGGTCAAGTCATTTTATAAGTTCTTCCCTTCATAGTAAGATGAATCAAGAGGTTGCAAAAACCTCCAGCCACCCAGAGTTTCATAGAATTGGAAGCAACCTCCCTTTGCCTGCTGTGACAGACACAAAAGCTCCAGACTTGCTCCACGTGAGCCTGTGCCCTGATGAGTAAGTGTTCCCAGTCCACACTGGACAGGGATTATTTTCACTTTGACTAGACCAGCGCCTGTCTGTGCTGCTGCTGAAAACCATCTTCTACCTTCTGCACTGCTGGGGGCTGGCACCCCCACACTGCCACAGCTCCCACCGCGCCTGCCGACAAGCGCTGCTCTGCTTCATTTTGAACTGGCAGCACTAAACTGTCTGCTCAGCAAATTAAACAGCTGCTGTCACATGCGGAGATGTTCCTCCCTTCCCCTGCTCTAGTCACGCTGACACTGGGTATAGCAAAGACATGGCACCATGAGTGAGAGACACTGACATCACATCAGTGGGAGCCATAAGGACCTGGCTACACCCCCCACTGCTGCCCTGATCTTGCACTTGCTGGAGGAGAGCCACCATAAGAATACCCACCACATTACGTTTATGCTTTCTGCATCAACATCACAACGCTGTCCTGTGAAGGAGGATATAGGCAAAGGCTACTGCACCTTTAAATGAAATATATGAAAAGTAAGCAAGTATTACTCCTCTCCTCACCCCTTTCACAAGCATAAGAATGGATAAAACATGTTATTAGCTCACCTAATCAGATAGAATTCAGCAATAACTAAAGGAATTTAATATTAAATAAACCATTTGCATTCTGTCAGCGCTTTACTTGGCTTTCAAGTTCTCCTCAACACGTATCAGGTTAAGGACAATTATCATATTTATTTTATGAAATTTTTCATGTATTTACCTCTTGTGCCCTTTTACTGAAAAAAAAAATTACAACTTTACTGATTAAATAGCTAGAAATAAATGGTTAAACTTTGAGTTAGAAGGCATTATTAGTGGAATACCCATACCATCTGACATCCTTACAAATGATCAGCAAAAAGAGATAAATATCAAGTGGTAAAATCCACAAATGGTACAGAAACATCGGGCTATTAGAAGCCAAGACAAAACACTGGGTGTGCTGGATGATAAAAGGGCAGAGAAAATTTGACTTGCACAATATGCAAAATAATCCAAAAGAAAGAAAAAAAAAAACAAACCCCATACACAACAGCACATAGCAAAAAAAAAAAGCATGCAATAATTAATTCTAAATTAGAAATTAACATTCAGGAAAGTGACTGTGAAATCTTTCTGCAAAACTTACTAAGATATCAGCTCAGTGTCGAGCAGCAATCAAAAAGCAAACCCAGAGTATTAGGAATTACTTGGAAGATGACAAAGGAAAAACAAAACAGCTCTATCACCACATAACGCCTAATGCATCCACATCATGAATTCTGCAGAAGTACCAGTCCTCCCATTTCAACAAGTGTAGTTACAAAATAATAGCTTTTTATATGAAGATGTTAATTAGGACCTCTCAGTTATTAAAAAAAAAAAAGAGATTGGGCTAAGACACCAGCAAAGTGAATGGGGAGGTGTTATTTATGGTGATATTGCTTCTTAGAGTACGAGGAGGAGGGATCTTAATTTAAGACACTACAAAGCAAGTAGAAAACAAATACTTCTCACAAAAGACAAACTGTATTATAACTCTGAAATGGGAAGTTGTGGAGATCAAGGAAACAGATGGGTTTGAAAAGCAATAGGAAATGCACGGAGTATAAATTAACAAAGCTCTTCAACACACAGATATGACTGTTGGAGCATGAAACCTCTGAGCTATGGACAAGGTAAAATAGTATTTGGAGGGGTGTGTGTAGAACTGATGGAACATCACAGGAATGCAGGTAACAGAAACCAAGACCAACTGAACCACTGGGATTTAATTGGTCACATAATGCAATTTGCTGGGAAAATTGAGGAACAAATGACATACCCCTCCAATGGAGAGTTAATATTTGACAACTCACATGCAGCAGGACAGGAAGAGAGCACAGGAGACTTCATGTTTCTTGTTCAGTAGCCTATGATATCTAAAGAAAGCTCTCACTGTACTTTTGGATACTCCTGCACAGCAGCTCACTTACACGTACTCTGTCACACACAATCTTGTCTTGAACCACGTACAAAATTTTGTTCTCATGGTTACACAGCAAAATCCCATTTGAATGAAAGGCAGCACAGGTCATTTCCCTTTACTGCTAGTGTATTAGTATAGCAGTCAATCAGGACTCCAACTAATTAGTTAAAAAATGCAGTACAAAGAAAAAAAAATCCCCTATACTAAGGATTTAAGTTAAAACTGACCTTGAAAGAGCTGACCAGCAAGGCAATGGTGAGCCAAAAGCAGGTTTGTATAAACATGGCACTTGAGTCAGGCAGCTTTGAAATATAAAGGAAAACTATAAGGAGACAAGAAAGTAGCAGAAGGCACCCATGTATTTAGATACTGACAACATCAGAAGCTAACAGATGTAACAGAAAAAAAATTAATAAAAAATAAGCTAGTTCTGATAATCCTGTTTCAGAGAATCACAGAATGATTTGGGGTTCAAAGGGACCTCTGGAGGTCATCTAGTCCAACCCCCCCTGCCAGAGCAGGTCCACCTAGAGCAGGTTGCACAGGAACGTGTCCAGGCAGGCTTTGAATGTCTCCAGAGATGAAGAATCCACCACCTCTCTGAGCAGCCTGTTGCAACTTCCTCACTCTTTAATATGGCTAAGGAAGCACTCGAGAAAAATAATTAGCAGTCCAAATCACATCAGAAAAATCTTAATCATGTCCTTAAACTCTTCTAAATCTCCTAAGAGAATTTCTTACAGCTATTTTTAGGAATAAAAAGAAGCATTTCAGTGGAACATTTGACACAAGTTTTTCCACCTGTAAAACTGAAGTAGACATCCAACAGCTTAATACAGGATTTTACAGTTTCCCTTCAAGGATGCCATGAGCAGATGTTTTAACTGAAGCACCTGGTACAAAAGTGCATTTGTCAAGGCCATCTATAGGCAGAGAAAGTCAGGAGAACTTCTTCACTTTAAGTACTCTTTCCACTGCTCAGAATATACACACAAAAGAGTACTGCACAACTGTGCCTTTCTCTAAGGATTGAGATGCACAGTGCTCAGAAGACGAGCTTTCTAACTTTCAGCTTACTTCCAGAAGCCCCAAGGGTGCTTTGCCTTGCATTTTTACCTGCCCTAGCACCTAACACACACTGTGGAAATGCAGGTACACAGTTGGGGAAAACCAGGGAAAGAATAAAGTGAAAACTGAGCCTGAAAATAAAGAATGATAAATCCTCTAACCAATCTACAGGATATGCATCAACAGTAATTCACACAAAGCCTCCATTATTTACTTTGCAACTTTATTTCTTGATAAGTTATTGGTATAAAGTTTAATATCTAATTATACAGTAATCTGGGGACTTTAAGGGAAGCTTATTTTGTCCTTTTTAGTGTCTTTTGCCATTTGGTCCTCAGACATGTTTCAAGAGGACTAATATACGTGTACCTTAAACTTCTGTACAAAAACATTTCAAGCCTTCGTTTTGTTTTTTCTGAGTAGGATGCAGAAATCATGCATATTGTAGACAATATAATGGTCAAGGAAATATTTTCCTCTTTAAACTAAGGCAGTTAAAAACCCCATGAATATCAATTGAGTAATCTGGAAGAGTAAAAAGGCTTCCTCAGGGCTCATTTATTCTTTGAGCAAATATCATGTTCGGTAAGACCCGCCCTCTTGGAATTATCATTGATTTGATTGCTGTCTGCACTGAAAAGACAGCGATTGTCAAAGACAGCGTTTAATTATGTACATTTTATAATGTCACTAACCCATCAACTTTTGAATATGAACTCAGCCTTAAGCATTGTGTAAAACCACATGCAAAAATTGCCATAAATTTTTTTTAAATAGAACCAAATTGGCAAGTTTTTTGGAAAGGATATCTCAATGTTAAAAAAAATAGACTGTCTATTAAAATGAGCACTTCAAGTAACTTAAATATCTTTAGCAAACATTTCCAGCAAGAGACTCTCTGTAAAAGAAATTGTTCTTAGAACAAAAAGCTAATGAATGGCTATTTAGACACTAATTTTTCAACACAGTGGTGGGTCTGTGTGAAACAATTTGTAATCTAAATAAAGCAAGTCCATTACACTGTTAAAAAAACATACATTAAGCAGGACTGATTAACTATTGCATTTCTGTATTTACAAAAGTGCTTAGCATAACAAAATTACCTAAAAAAATATAAACTTTACCGATATCATTTGGTTCTATGTGTACTCCTAGGTCTGCACTTGGAGAAAAATAGTATTTACATTGCTAGATTTAGACAAGTTTCCTATTATTTTTAAAGAAATTTAACAAAACTCCCCACACAAATGGACCCCTATGTAAGTCAACTAATTCCATCTGGCTCATTATAAATAGAGCAGAAGCAAATCCTTGAGTACTGAGCAGTATAAATAATTTTAGCCATTGTCTGTGGCATTAGACCCCAATACAGGCTGCCGACAAATTGGGCAAGTGGAGTTTTCAGAAAGCCAGCGATCAATGCAATGAATATGAAACTCATGCATACAAGGTAACTGCCTTAGCTTATTCCCTGTTACATATTCATTAATGCAAACACTACACGTTTTACTTATTTCATTTTCAGTGTGAGTATCCCCATAGTTCCTGGTAGAAAGATTGTCAATCTGCTCTTTGGTTAAACCTCTTAAACGATCGTCGTCATCATCTTCATTCAGCAAGAAGAAGTGGGCAAGGCGAAGTATGGGCAGCGTTCCATTTTCCACGAGGTTGTTAGCGTCTTGAGACTGCCTGGTATCTTGGTTTTCATTACTGCGACCATAGCGTTGAGTATCATCACTCTGCCCATTTGTTTCCCTGCTGCCTTCTACTGCACGCCCATTTCTAGATGAAATCTCACTGGGATCACTGCTATTGTTTGCTGAACTGGAGTTATTCTGCTCTGACTGTAAATCTGGTAAGTGATGACCGCCTCTTTGCACTTCCGAGTTGGATTCCGTTTCCATTAAAGAACTCAATTCTCCAAAGCCTGTCATAATTTGTCTCAGGATTGATCGAAGAGCCACTGATGAAGGTTCACCAAGCCCAGTTTCTGAAATCCGACGAAGAGGTATCCGGATAGTGCTAACGTAGGTTCGAATACCTGCACGTTCTGAGCGCGATATCGTACGCCGAAATCCCCCACTGTCACTTTCAAAGGTAACTGTGTTTTCTGCCATTCCTACTCTAGAACGAGTTCTACTGGCAATACTGTCCCGATCTCTGTTTTCTCCAGGACGAATTCTTCTCACCTGAAGATCTAATGTAATTGTTGGGTGCCTTCTAACGGCAGCTGCTGGCCTACTAGACTCCTCCTCTTCCAACGTTATTCCCAAGGATGGTGCTACACCGGACAGTTGAGGAGCCTGAGTGTTACCTCTTGCTTGTTCTTCGGCAGGCTGCGGAGAAGGCTGAGCTGTTTGTCTTCTACTTCTGTTGACTGGCTGTGCATTTCTATCCTGCCTCTGCGCGTGTTCCTCAGAATGAGCAGCATCACCTTGCCTTTGCAGGGGAGAACGGCTTCGACTACTTAAAGTAGACCTCAGGCGCAGAATTTCTAGTCTTTGGTTTGTACTCATCCGAACACTAGTTCTAGCTCTACCTCTTCTGACTCCTGTAGAACTACCTCTTTCTGGTGTTTCTCTTGGTTCTCCAGTAGCTGCAGAATTATTACGTGCATTATTTGTTTGGGAAAGGCCTGCCAGCTCCCTTGTTCTACTCCTGAGCCTTCCCAAGACTGGATGAGAGGCTGCTTCAGATCTTTGTGCCACGGAACTTCTCATAGACCTGGTCCTTGCAGTGCTTGAAGCCTCACTGTTTGCCTCTCTTGCAGTCCTGCTCCTCGTTCGTGGGGTTACTGGACTGACAGCTCTTTGATGTCTTCTTCTTACATACATTCTGCTACTATCTATACCCACATACTCCTCACCAGCAGTTTCAAAACTGTTATGCTCGTGATTTATATTGATTTCAAGACTAAACCGAAACTCCCCACTGTTTGGATTTGTTCGACTCACGGCTCTCCAGGTCTGGTTCCCACTCTGTCCACTGCGAGTGGCATTTCCTGTGCGACGAAATGTGTTCAGCCACTCAAGCAAAGAGTCACCATTTGAGTTTTCTCCAAGAACATCAGAATCTGAGAGAAACGAAGAAATGCAAACATTCATACAACTGCACAGTCAGCATACTATGAGGTATTACAAATCCTCTATTTGCTGGGTCCTGACTTCAGGGATGTTACAGCAGCAGGACAGCTACCTTGCTATGCTAATGCAATTTTGCTGAAAATATGTTGTATGTAAAAACATCAGCAACACTCATCAGTTCAACCTAAACTTTTTGTCTCACCAGCAGATACACAGACAGATTAATACACCCAGATGCCCTCTTCTGAGGAAAGTGTTCAGATTTAGGCAGTCTAAAGTTAGTTGTATTTGTCCAATATTTGTCTCTCACTCAATTTGAGCACATCCTAGCCAACTAACTTTGATAAAGCAAGGAAAGGTATGACAGATTTTGTCATCTTCTGGCAAATATTTTTTTTTTTCTATAAGCAGTAAACAATGCATGGTTTTGATGGATTTGTTCCTTTTGTGCAAATACACTCTTTTCCTACCACAATATCCACAGCTTCGTTCCCAGATCTCCTCCAACTACAAGCTCAAGAACAGATACAATTGTGGAATGTGCTAACTCCATGTATGGAGAAAGTCAATGGTTGTGATCACAGTGAAGGTTTTCCCTTGAAGGGATCAGATTAAGCTCTCCCTACTCCATCGTCTCCCTACTTTTATGAAACCCGAAAGAATTTCGGTATCTTTGTCTCTCAGTTGCCTATTCCTCTCCTAAATTTGACAAGAATTGGCCAAATGATTAAGGCAATACTGCTGGGGAAGAAGGCAGACAGTGCACATAATAAAAGCCTCACTCCATTAAAACAGATGGAAACGAAACAACAAAACCAACAAAACAGTGGAGAGGTTAACTGTTTCCCAATCAACTTCTTTCCCATTCCAGCTTTTTTTAATACAATAAAACCTTTAAGGAATTAGAAAAATGAAAATTATTTTTGTGCTAGTAAGTTTATGACAAAAGAGAAACCAGGAAAAGAGGAGAAAGTAAATTTTGGCTGATATAATCAGTTTTCATGAAGTATTTCAAGTTTGTTTTCATATCATTAGGAAATCTCTTTTCTAAAACAATCCATAGAGGCACAATGAAAAACAAGACTTGAAATGGCTGGTATTGAAATTCACCAGCCTCTCTTTTAAATATTTGTACAAAACAATACTTATGTTTCTTGTACTATGTGTATCTATATACATGAACAAAAAATACTTACCTCCAACAGTTCTACCTTCACCTTCTCTGTTATCCAGATCAGTCTGCGATGCCAGACGCTCCTTAGCCCCCTCCAAGCGTTGCTGCAACTCTTCTGCTGTTATTTCCCCTGAAATAATTTAATTTTTATAATGCTGTTAGATAAGACATTATTATTAGCTCAACACAGCCATGCAGAAATAACAATACTTCCTATCTTGAAAAATCTTCAGCAATGAGGTAAAATCAATGAAACCAAAAGAAAACACACTAGTGTGAGATCATACCACAGGTACACAGATAACAGCGGAAGTAGGTACCAGGGTAGGTGGAAAAAAAGATACTTGAATGTGTGTCAAGAGCATGTCAACTTCCAGCAAAAACTCAAAGCAACTTCCAGCAACAACACAGAGGCCCCCAAAATTGCTATGTACCAAGAGAGATACTTTAGTGTACCAGGTAATAATTATTTGGGTTTGGATATTACCTTTATGTGGAGATGCTGCATCTGAAAGAGGTAAATAGATAATAAGGCTGAACTAAAAAAAAAATGTTGATAATTTTTACTGGATATTATTAATTTTGAATGGAAATGGAGGGCTTTTCCCTTCCTACAAAGCCACAGGCTGCTTGAGTCTTACAAACACACGTGGTGCCTGACAGCAGTGGTGTTACTTCACATTATATCTTTTCTACTGAAGGTACCCACATCTTACCAGGCGTGCCAAGCAGGTTACGGTCTCTCATTAACCTGTAGTCTTCTTCATTGAGTTCATTAATGAACTGATAATAGGCCTCTTCTCTGCTGAGGCGCTCCAGCTGCCGTTGTCTCTCATCTGCCCCATGACTATGCTCTCGAGAAGATGCCTGCTCATTGCTATTTCCTGCACGGTGCCGAGAGCGATCCATGATGATAGTGCCAGGCTGTCCTGAACAAAACCAGAAGGTTAGACTGCACGGTAATTACAGTAACAATTTACCTAATTTACAGTAAAAAGTTCCCAGCAATTTCAATGAAATTAGTTGATTAATAGCTAAAGATGATTAAGATGAACCAAGCTCCGTGTTATTTGCCAAGTCAACAGTACAGTTTATTATGCAAGTATTTTGCTTCTAGCTTGCTCAAAAATAGCTAGAAGTCTCCTTTGCTCACCGAAAGGACATACCAGTTGGTAGAGCAACTTTAAAATAAAAGAGCAATGACAAATTATTAATTTTTTTTTTTGCTAAATAAGGATATTCTAAAAAGTCAAAGGGGTAAGATAAAATTTGTTTCCCTTTTCCCAAGTAAAATAAAACAGCAACATGGAGTATTTTAAAGCTAAAATGTCACCAAAAACATTGTTCTCCGATTATTGGATGGAAATTACCCAATGTAGACTTCTGACAACCACAGCTACTGCTTTAGAGAAGACTGTCTGGCACTTGTAAGCAGGTAAGACTACACGAGTAACTCAGTTGGTCTCACTCCTCACGTGGCACAAAACCTACAGATATATTTTTGGCAGAACTGACTCTTTCAACACTCTGACATTAGTGGTATGTTTTCCTCATGATCTCTAATCCAAGGATTAGCTAACAAAAGGATACCCATCTCCAGGAAAACGGTGTAAAACACAAAGGGCTACACTTTACCCACAGCTCTTCAATACTTTCCAAATATTTAACCAATGGGATCACCTATTAGGAGGTGTGAATAACCTTCTAGCATCAGAGAGAGGCTGATTTCCCTGCCATTGCCAGCTCTCTCTGGCACAGGATTGAGTCCTGACTAACCAGGTCTCAGGCCACTCCCCAACTTTTCTATTTCCTAAAGAAAACCTGTTCTTCAACATTCAATTTGAAAGAAGAAAAAGCCAAGTGTCATCCTTTCCAAGGGGCTTCCCATTTAGCAAAAGCCATCCGTAACACCTGCTGAGGCAGATACCCGACAGAAGAGATCACTTCTCTAAAGACATCATGAGGCCAAAAAAGCTGAGCACATGGCACCATTCTGCGTATGCATGAAAAGAGTTATTGGGTAATATTTTTTCGTCAATTCACCAACATATCAAGATCAAGTATTAATTATGGGGAAAACACAGAACAGCATTCTCAGCACACTTCTGATCAGTAATTAGTTTTCACAGGAAAGGTGATGAGACAACAAATAGTCCAAACCAACTAACTATTAGACATACATTCAATAAAGAGTAAACCTTCATCAATGCTGCCAACAGATATGAAGAATCAGAAAACGTATTTGCCAACAGCAGAAGCTGGCATACATTTAATATACCTGTCTCATGTTCTTTGTGGAATCCACTCTGATGCATTCTTGGTCTCCTCATTTTCTACCCCATATGCTACTTCTTCCCTCCCCCACAGGTAACCACTTCTAAACAGCTCTTCCCAATCTTTTTACACATCTGCCTCCTGTGTCCAATACTGCATTTCAGTGTATTCAATACTTCCTTCCTAGTTCTTTAACTCACTTAACTTAAAATAAATAAAATCTGAATATCTCCCCCTTAAGACATTTTCTATTCCCATAGTATTTGTGGGGGTTTAAAATTTACTGTCATCCTCTTAGCTCAGACTCACAAGCTGTAGGTAATCACTGACTTCCATTTCCCACAAGGGCTATGTTCAAATCAGGTCACTTCTCATATCACATTTCTAAACACAAATTTCTCAGCCAGCTCTTTGTCTTACTACCCTGGTTTCCTCAAAAGAAATGTAATTCCTCCCCCCTCAACACACAGCACTATTATTACCCTAATGACACTGATCACTCGACTATTATCATGAAAATACCCCATCCATACTGTACTGAATATTATACTGCCTCTGCCCCACATGACTTACAACTTAAGGTAAATAAAGCAGGAAGGGGAAACAACACAGATAAAATTAATTTAATTTCATGTAACGTTTCTATTTAGATGAAAGCTTTAAAACAACTAACATGTTACTGTTTGCCTGACAGTCACCTTAGTAAGTTAACTGACTTCCTGGATATTGCTGCACAGAAAAAACATCAGTTCTTAAGATGAAAAGTCCATCACTTGTAGCCCGCCTCGATCTAAATTTAAACTGTTTCTCAAAAGAGAGGCTCTTTACTTTTCACTTCTCATCCACAGAAAATCTGAGAATCTCTTCTTCAGATTTTGTGGGTGGTAGAAAAAAAAAATACTGTTTTGTTGACAACTGTATGGTAGGATGATTAGTCACACACTTCAAATGACTCACTTAGAAACACTAAGAAGTGTGAAGTGTTCGGTTGTCCCATCTGTTTAACATAACTGCATGGATGACAACTACTATCCATAATTATCAAACGTCATCAAAACTAAGTACTTTGGCACTTAGAGTGTTTCAGAGTAGTGAAAGTTGAAGGATATTAACTGTATCAAAATTAAGTACTTTGGCATGTAAAATATTTCAGGCTATTGAAAAGTTGAAGTGTATTAACCACCAAGATGTAAAAAACTGAAATCGAAATCCAGTTATGACTCAGGATTACTCTTCCTTTGCAAAGAAACAGGTGCCACGTGCCAACAGTTTATCTACATTTTCTAGAATTTTCAACTGGAAGACTAATTCCCGCAGTTCTTAATTCATAGTTACTCCATCCTATTCTCGAAGATTTACATTCACTTTGACCTAAGCAATACATATACCTTATGCTTTTAGGCCTTGGCCTCTTTCCGGGAATTACTACCCCCAATTCAATTAGGTATTCGTTTTCTGAAAGCTACCACCTGATGACAAGCAAGACGACTACGGAGTTTAGATGAGGAAGCCTCCCCGAGCGACAGGGCTACTTAGCATTTCTGTCACATTGCAGCCTCCAGGCGAGATGATCTCACTGAATTTGAAAAAAAAAAAAAAAAAAAAAAAAAAAGGAAAAAAAACAAAACCCAGATAACCTCCCAAAGCCTGGGGAAGGAGGGGAGGGGGAAGGAAAAACAGACAAAGGAAGAATCAGCAGGTAATTAGGAAACAGGCCGCAGGACACCCAAAGCGATCCAAGCCCGGGGCCTGGGGCCGCCCGCCTCCCCCCAGCCGGGCCTGCAGAACCCGGCCCTGCGCCGGGCTAACGCTCCCCGGCGGTTCCCCAAGGCAGCCGCGGGCAGGGCCCTGCGCCCCGGAGCGGGAGTTCCGAGGGGTCCCCGGCGGGACCGGCAGCCCCCGGCCCGGCCGCCCCCGCCGCCACCGACAGCGCCTGTTGCCAGACGCCTGGGGGAGGGGAGGCCGAGGGGAGTGACTGACACGGCTCCCGTCCAATCACCTGGCCAGCTCGCGGCCACCCACCAATCACAACCGGGAAGGGCAGCCCATGTCCTCCCGCTTCTCTCCTCCCCGGACTCCCCGGTCGGGCCCCGCCACTAACCGCCACCGGCCGGACCGGCTCTCTCCAGCGCTGCCCGCGCCCCCGTCTCCCCTGCCCGCCGGGGAGCGTCATCACCCGGTGCGACACACCGGGGAGGCGGCCATGCCGCCACCTGCCCCGGGGGAGCCTGCCGAGAGCTCGTCCCTGCCTGCCGTCCAGTCGGGGCGGAGCGGCCCGGGGGCTGCCCCGGCTTAGCCCCTCTCCGCGCTCCCCTTCCCCTCCTGGCGGCCGGCCGGCCGGACCGACCGCCGCCTCACGCCGGAACGACACCGACCCCTGGGTGTGCGA